GATGAGGTGGTTTGGATCGCATTTTCCTGATGATTAGTGATTTGGGGTGTTTTTCCTATACTTGTTGGCTATTTCTCTTCTGAGGAGTGTCTGTTCAGCTCTTTTGCCCATTTTTTAATCAGAATATTTGTTCTTTCGTTGCTTGGGTTCCTTGTGTATTCTAGTGAAAATCCTTTGTCAGAGGAACAGTGTTCATCATGAATGCAACATCTTCAGCCCTCACCTGCTGCTTCCCCTCAGCCCCACGCAGTCCCATGTGTCTGCTCTGCTTTTGAGGGCCAACCTAAAAGATCTTTATCTGCACTAATTTTTTTTTTAGATTTATATATTTATTTGAATGGCAGAGCTACACAGAGGCAGAGGCGGAGAGGGGGAGAGGGGGAGAGAGGGAGAGAGAGAGAGAGAAAGTCTTCCATCAATTGGTTCACTTCCCAAATGGCCACAATGGCCAGATCTGAGCCATCCCGAGCCAGGAGCCAGGAGCCAGGAGCCTCATCAGGGTCTCCCACGTAGGTGCAGGGGCCCAAGCACTTAGACCATCTTCCACTGCTTTCCCAGGCCACAGCAGGCAGCTGGATCGGAAGTGAAGTAGCCAGCAAGTCGGCACCCATATGGGATGCTGGTGCCGTAGGTGGAAGCTTAGCCCACTATGCCACAGTGCCAGCCCCTAACTGACCTTCAAACCAAGAAATAAATCTTAAAAAAGAAAGAAAGAGAGAGAAAGAGAGAGAGAGAGAGAGGGAGGGAGAAAGAGAGAGAAAGAGAGGGAGGGAGGGAGGAAGAAAGAGAAAGAGGGAGGGAGGGAGGAAGAAAGAGAAAGAGGGAGGGAGGGAGGAAGAAAGACGAAAGAAAGAATTAATATTAATTCTGGCAAGGGCATAGGCAAAGGTGAGCTCTCATTCACTGCTGGTGGGAATGTAAGTGAGGGAAGCCATTACACGAAGTAGTATGGAGATTCCTCAGACAACTAAAAATACAATCATCAAACAATCCAGCGATCCCGCCACCGAGTATCTTTCCAAAGGAAAGGAAACAGTGCTGTAGGGATATCTCACTCTCGCTGTTTATTACAGAACCACTCACAACAGCAACCACACAGAATCAACCTAACTGTCTATCAGCAAGTGAGTGGGTTAAGAAATAGTGCTGTGGCCGGCGCTGCGGCTCAATAGGCTAATCCTCCGCCTTGCGGCGCCGGCACACCGGGTTCTAGTCCCGGTCAGGGCGCTGGATTCTGTCCCGGTTGCCCCTCTTCCAGGCCAGCTCTCTGCTGTGGCCAGGGAGTGCAGTGGAGGATGGCCCAAGTGCTTGGGCCCTGCACCCCATGGGAGACCAGGAGATGCACCTGGCTCCTGCCTTCGGATCAGCGTGGTGCACCGGCCACAGCGGCCATTGTGGGGTGAACCAACGGCAAAAGGAAGACCTTTCTCTCTGTCTGTCTCTTTCACTGTCCACTCTGCCTGTCGAAAAAAAATAAGAAAGAAAAAAAAGAAAAAAAGATGTGCTGTAGTAGGTACACATGGAAAAAAAAAAAAAGCCATGAAAAGAACAAAGTCCTGACATCTGCAGCAACATGGACGGGCCTGGAGGACACGACTTTAAGTGCAAAAAGCCAGGAGCAGAAGGAGAAATGTTGCGTGTTCTCTCTCACATGTGGGAGCCAAAGGAGTTGACTTCATCCGAGTTCAGAGTGGAACAGTGACCGGTGACTGCCGAGGCAGGGAGGGGCAGGGGCAGAGGGTAGAGAGGTCAGTTAACAGGGACAAAGCTACAGCAGGCAGCAAGAGCGAGGGCTGGCGCCCTGCAGCACCGGAGGGCGGCCACAGTTCACGACACTTCACAGTGTTTCCGCACGGCTACAAGAGGATCTGGAATGTTCCCACCACATAGAAATGATCGACGTTTGAGACAATGGATATGCTAATCACTCTGATTTGATGATTCCACACTGTATACATGTATTGAGAAATCACCCCATAAGTATGTAAAACTATGTGGCAAAAATAAAATAAACAAAAACGAACTAGAAAATCAGTCAACCAGATATTCTCTAGGCGCACTAAGCGCTTACTGAGCAGCAGGCCCTGGGCCTACGCTTTCCTCATTCAGTCTTCCTTAACGATACAGGTTTGACGTCCTTACCCCCACGTCAGACGTGGAGAAGCCTGGGTTAAACAATTCGCTGAGAGGACACAAGGACAGAAAAGGACACTAATGAGCTCAGACACGCACACTGATGGCGGGGACCACGGTGTTGCCACCTCACTATGCCTGCCTGGGATGTGGACGATGGAGCTCAGCCCTGATCTGCCTTAAGCGTGAATGTATTACCACTCAAAACCATGCGGTGGTGCGGGGCTACTGCCCTGCTGTTGGGCCTCACCGTTAGCTCCTGGACCACACTGGGTTCCGTCGGCCACCTACCGCGGCACACGAAGGCTATAACGCTCTGTGACAAGGCAGCAACTCAATCCAGGGCTTCTCATTCGTTCCGTACGCACCAATAGCCACCACGGGCTACAGGCTGTACTGAACAAGTCCTCTCTTCTTCTGAGACCTTCCTGCAGCCTCAGCAAAGCGGTTTGCCGAATTCCAGCACCTGAGGGCTTGCACACAGCAGGCTGACACTTTGTTTCAGAACCACAAGCCCACGGCTGCCAGTAGTATGCTCTCTACATGTGGGGAAATCCAGGCACCGGCAGCTCCCAGACCTGAGCTTGTTCCCCTCCCCCTCTCTTAAAACATTTATTTATTTGTCGAAAAGCAGAGTGATGGGGAAGGACAGGTCTTCCATCTCCCGGCTCACTCTCCGACGTCCACAATAGCCAGCGCTAGACCAGATGGAAGCCAGAAACTCCACCTGGGCCTCCCACGTAGGTGGCAAGAACTCAAGTGTTCAGGTCATCATCCACTTCCACTCAGGCACATTCGCAGGAAGCTGGGTTAGAAGCGTGAGTAACAGGAACTTGGACTAGGCATCCCAAGCTGTGGCTTAACCGGCTATACCACAATGCCCGCCCCGTTCCTGTTTAGTTACTCACGACTAGGGCTACTAATGTCTAGAACACACACGCACACAGCCACACGATTTTAATTCCAGTGATGCCCCTTTGTAGTAGTTACTAAACGTTCTCCCTGGATCACTAGACTTTTCCCAGCACTAAGTGGCACACGCGGATGGAGAAAAGCCTAATCTGTGATCCAGAGTGGTGCCCCGCGGCCATTAGAATCTGTGCCACCCAAAACGCATATGCTGAAGCCCTAACCCCCAGGATGATGGAACTGAAAATGGGGTCTGTGGGAGGTCACGAGGTCACGAGGATGAGTGACAGGGAAGAAGAAGAGGCACGAGACGTGTGAGGTGACAGCGAGACGGCCACCTGCAAGCTGCGAAAGCACTCTCACAGGAACCTGACCACCACTGATCTTGGACTTCCGGTCGCCAGACCCGTGAGAGGCAGATTCTGATGCTTAAGTCACCCTGTGCATGGTATTTTGTTATAGCTGCCTGGGCTGGGTAAAACAGGGCCTTTAAAGAATTAAGTGAAATGGGGTCCTTAGGGTGGTCCTAATCCAGTGTGACTGGTGTCCTTATTGGAGGAAAGGAACCAGAAAGACACAGCAGACACTCCCACGCACGGGGACTCCCACGGCAATACACAGGGAGAAGCTGCCACCTGCAAGCCAAGACACCAAACCTACCGACACCCTGATCTTGGGCTGATCTTGGACTTTTAGCCTCCAGACCGAGAGAGAATATAGACTTCTGGTTTTGGTAAGCCACCAGTTTGGGATATTTTATTCTGGTAGCTCCAGCAAACTAATACAGAGAGTGAAATCACAAATTCCCCAAGTATTGTCTGCAAGCCCCATTGGCATTAAAGCGATGCTTGACGGTTGCTTGAGTCAACCCGTAATCCTGACGTTTCTCCTACGTATTAGCCGGGCCCCAGCCAGATGCCAAGAGACCACGAGGGCATTTCAGAAACTCCACAGGAGGGGCAGGCGCTGTGTACAGCCAGTTCAGCCACCACCTTAGGGACGCCCACGTCCAGTACTGAAGCGCCTGGGTTTGAGTCCTGCCTCTTTCCAACCCAGCTGCCTGTGAATGTGCACCCTGGGCGGCAGCAGAAGATGGTTCAAGTACTTGGGACCAGGGGCCGGCGTTGTGACGTAGCAGGTAAAGCCATCACCTGCAATGCTGGCACCCCACATGGACACTGGTTCGTGTCCTGGACACTTCACTTCCAATCCAGCTTCCTGCTGGTGGCCTGGGAAAAGCAGTGGAGGATGGCCCAAGTGCTTGTGTTTTTGCTATCCATGTGGGAGACCTGGAAGAAGCTCCTGGCTCCTGGCTTCAGGTGGGCCCAGCTCCGGCCGCTGTGGCCATTTGGGAGGTAAACCAGCAAATGGAAGCTCTCTCTAACTCTGACTTTCCAATACAAATAATAAATCTGAAACAAAATAAAATTTATCTTTTCATTTAATTTTCCATGAACTTTTAATTAATTAATTAAAAAAATTTTAAATTTACTTATTTGAGAGGCAGAAAGACAGAACGCCCCAAATGCCTGCAGTGGCTGGGGCTGGGCGTAGGCTGAAGCTGGGAGCCAGGACCTCCGTCCGGGTGCTCCACACAGGTGGCAGGAACCCAACTGTTCCAGCCATCACTGCTGTCTCCCGAGTCCGCATGGACAGGAAGCTGGAGTCGGAAGCAAAGCCAGGTACTGAGCCGCGGCCTGCGCTGTGGGATGTGGGTGTCTCAGCCACTAGGCCAAATACTCGCCATGAACGTTTTGAAGTACTCTCACGTACAAAGCTTCAAATCCGTAATGCAAAATGGAAAGCGGCTTCTATATTCCCCCTTTCGGAAAATGTGCTTCCGGAGAATACCAATGACCATGAACCTGGCTGCTCCCTCCCCCGCATCCCACGAAATTCGGGAGCTATGAAAGTCACCTTCTCCTAGGCAAACAGCCTCCAATCAAGACAACTCTTACCCAGCGCTTCCAGCTCCTGAACGACTTCTTTCCACACAGGCTCAATGTGGATGCAGCTGAAGCACCAGTCGGAGGTGATCTTAATGAGGTAGGGTTTCTTGAAGCTGTCGGGAACGACTTCGTTTACGTAATGGGAAAAGTGCAGCAAGTACTTCTCATCAACCGAGTCCCGCCGCTCGGAATTGAAAGGGAAGTGAAAGAAGGATTCGTCGAAGTAGAAATTGTCGTGGAAACGTCGGAAGCGGTATTCTCGCTGCTGCTGCTTCTGGTAGCCCTGGTTCTCTCCGGCATCTCCATAGTGATCGTAATGCGACCTCTTTTCTTCATTGGAAAGAATCTGTTAGGAAATGAAGCAACAAAAGAAATTATCTAAACAATAACAGGAAGGCTCAGACAGAGGGCTTTTCTGTATGCGGCTTAGAAATCACAGAAAGCAGATACAGACTATCATACGATTCTTTAAATCACCCAATGTACTGAGACGCTCTCATTTCTATTTCTTCTAGTGGTGTTTTTTAAAGGTTTATTTATTTTACTTGAAAGTCAGAGTTACACAGAGAGAGGAGAGGCAGAGAGAGAGAGAGAAACAGAGAGAGAGAGAGAGGTCCATCCATCCACTCCCCAATTGACTGCAACGGACAGAGCTGCGCCAATCTGAAGCCAGGAGCCAGGAGCTTCTTCCGGGTCTCCCATGTGGGTGCAGGGCCCAAGGACTTGGGCCATCTTCTGCTACTTTCCCAGGACATAACAGAGAGCTGGACAGGAAGTGGAGCAGCTGGGTCTCGAACCGGCGCCCATATGGGATGCCAGCACTGTAGCAGGGTGTTAACCCGCTGCACCACAGCGCTGGCCTGAGAAGCTCTCATTTCAATACAGACAGTGAAGAGGATTCAAGACCAAGGTATTTCAATGGCTTAGAGTACCTACACTCATGCTCACGCTGGCATTAAAGATTCTGAACTATCACAGCACTAAGTAAAAGTTAGCATCATGTGGTTCCCCAGGGCTCAGACACAACAAAACTGACTTGGTCAGTCTTTATGAATTGGAATAATCCACACAAAATACGAAAAGTTATGAACGCCAAAAAGCAGTCACAGAACTGAGTCTGGTGCTTTGCTTGTGGTCGTTGTTTTACTCGAAACTTTTGAATCCAACATCTGAGATGGTCATGCAGGATCGCGTGTTACCTGCGAGCCACACTGGCTGTTGGCGAGCACTCACCCGCACAATCAGGAAGCCGTGGAGTGAATCTCGTGTGCACTCCAGATCAACCTACTCTGTTGGAAACGTACTAAAAATCTTATCTAAAATAAATTTGCAAGCATGTCATTTTAAGAAATGCAGGTGAATCAATAAGTGATTTTTTTTTAAGATACCTGCACCCCTAAGCACTGTGAGTGCCCTGTGGTGGGAGGAGGGGAAACATGCGGAGGTCACTCACTTCTGTGTCTGGCTTACGGCAGGAGGCTCTGATGACCTCTCCTCCCCCTCCTTGGGCATGTTTAATTTTTAACTGACACATAATCACCGTATATGTTTATGGATACAGTGTATATCAAGACACGCAGATAACATGTAATAATCAAATCAGAGTAATTTGTATTTTTTTGGTAAAGATTTATTTTATTGAAAGTCAGAGTTACTGAGACAGAAGAGAATCTTTTCATGTGCTGGCTCACTCCCCATACGGCTGCACAGCCGGGCAGAAACCAGGAGCCAGGAGCTTCCTCCAGGTCTCCCACACCAGTGGCAGGGCCAAGCACTTGGACCATCCTCAGGGATGCTTTTCCCAGGCCATTAGCAGGGAGCTGGACTGCAAGTGGAGCAGCCAGGCCTCGAACAGGCACCCACATGGGAGGCCAGCGCTGCAGATCGTGGCTTTAACCCGCTGTGCCACAGCGCTGGCCTCTACTCTACCTTTCAAACAAATAAATAAATCTTAAAAACAAACAAACGAACTGAGCAGCCAAGGCTTATTCTAGAAGAGCTAACGGACGATGAACCGCAAAGGCTGACGCGATACCTCATAGGCCTTGCTGATCTGAATGAACTTGTCTTCTGCTCCAGGATCCTTGTTTTTGTCAGGATGCCTGAAACACAAACGGGCAGACAGTGAGCACGGGTTTAATTTCTTGCACACTGTCATGTAACATCCTGCTACACACAGTTCACTACATCAGAGGCGAACGGAGGGCCACTGTACGGACGGTCTCCTAAAATATACGATAGAACAATCAGTTGCTCCGTGTGACTAATAAGTGAAACTTTGAACCGGGACAGCTCTCCCAGGCACGCCAGCTGGGCCTGTTTTCAAGGCGCCAGACTGCACGGCTGTTGAATGTCACCGAGCAGAGCTGGGCCACCTGCTTGTCCTGACGCTGCTCCCCAACAGCACTGAAGCTGCCCGAGGCTAAGGAACTCTTCCAGGAGGGTCAGCAGATCTCCCAGGACAGCAGCATTTTATCCTGATGTTGGAACGATGATGTCACAGCCAACACGAGCAGACGTAAGCGGCAGCTTTTAGGATGCGCTGCGAATTCCTTCAGTAATAATTACGCTTCAAATAGCATCCTGGCTTTCAAATTAGAACATTTCAACTTTCGTTATTACTCTGGTTATCTCATTCTACTCATGATCATCTCTGACCTGTAAGCGGATGACGACTTCCCGGCCACATGTTTAAGATGTGAGAAAGGTCTGCAGTTCGTGCAAAGTCATTTCAACTAACGCTGGAACTAAATCTTAAACGCCTGCTATCACATGCAGCCGACAACGCTTCCACCTTGCTGTCGTGTAGTGTTCTGTAACCTTTTGTTTTTACACTAAGGCTCTGGGGATTTTAAAGTCCTACAAACAAGGAGCTGGGTTTACTTCCTTGCGACTCCTAAGATCTAAGGCAGCGTTCAGTACAGATGGACTTTCCAAAGTTCACTTAATCAAGAGCCCGTGTGACAAAGTTTATTATTTTTACAGAATCACTTCTGCTAATCTCCAGTAACTTCCTCCTACTAAAGATTACGGAAAGACAATGCACAAGGAGCAAGTGACTCCTAAAAACACACCAAGTACACTGGAGTAATTAAAAAAAGACCACTACAACTTGCCCAACTTACTTTACCAGGACTATGTTTGAATGAATTATAACACATATTCTGATTTATCTAAAAACAAGGAGACTTCAAATGGTTGACTGCTGAATTTAGACATCCTTCCCCCCTTTTCTATGGATATCAGTGAGGAAAACATTTCAGCTAGGTATAATGAAAACAGTATGGTGGTTCCGAAGCACGTTTCTGGATGATAAGAACGAATAAAACAGGTTGGCTAATCAATGGCCGAGTTGCTACAAATCATGCAATCCTACAAAGAAAGATGGAACATAAAGAGCTCTGCAGGGAAGACAGGTAGGAAGGGGCACTTGGAGACTGACGCGGGGAGTCTTGGGGGCAGCTGGGTTAGAAAGCGCGGACCCTGCGGAGGGAGGCCGCGGCCCAGGAGCACAGGAGGCCACGAGGCTGCTCCGGTGGATAAGGAACATTTCCCCAGCTGTGGGAAGACACCGTGAGTCTGAAACACTTAGAAAAGCATCATTTCAGTCCTAGGAGCGTCCCTCCCAGTGCTATTTTCGGTGAAATATGGAGTTATCTCATGAATTGCAATGTGATACGCAACCTTCACAAATGTCAAAGGGAAGCAAACATTGTGCTTGGTATCGGCTGGCTGTCTGGGTACCTCCAAAGGCATAAAAAGGAAGACAGAAAAAGGAAGACAGCAAAGAATCAGCAAAGTCATTTACTGTTTGGTTGACTGGGCCACGTTCTACCCATCTGCTTCCCGGGGGTGGGAGGAGCTATATATTTTGCACGCATGACAAGTGCAAAATATCTGAGAAAATGTCATTCCTGGGAGAGGAAGATAGGGTTTCGGAGAGGGCAAAGTCATTTCCAGTGGGTTCAGCAAGCAAGGGAGAATTCCTAACACTAAGAAACATTTAGTAAAACAGGACAACAGGATGCCCCAATTAACCGCTTCCCCCTGCTACAGCTCATGCTGAAAAAGTCCAACAAGGAACACTGTCATTTGCAGCACAGTATGAAACCACTGGGGAGTAAAACTGAACCGATTCCAGTGGTAAAACACTGCCATAGGCAAAACACCAGAAAATAACAGGATAACAGAAATATGAAGTACAACCGTAGGCTCTTGCTGGACAACACTCAGAGTCCAGGGTGACGAATTACTCCCAGAGAGAATTTAACTAAGGAAGAGAGGCATATGACTCATTTAATTAATATCATAACACCCTTTCCAGCTCTGGAGGCTGGCAAAGTCAAAGCTGTGCATTATAACAGGTCCCGCAAAATCTAGCTGTCATTTCTGCTCTTAAAATATTGTCAAAGGCTATACCCTGTCCAAAACAATGCTGTTGCCTTATGAATTAACTGCAGATTTATACGTTTGGCATTGAACATAAAGAGGCCAGAGTTTGAAATGTTACTGAAAGCCACTGTGCTGCAGAGTCCCTGGACAGAAACCTGGTCAGAGATCGTCTTTTTAGCATCCAATTTGGAGACTGCAGGATACAAATATGCCCTAAGACATACACTCAAAATATTCCACTTTAAAGGACCCTGTACCTTTACTGCAACCAGTATAAGACTGAGCTGTGTTCCCAGAACGACGAGGGTGTCAGGCAGAGCCATGCACAGCCTGCGACATCATCTCCCTGCGGCAGCCTCGGCTTTGCTCCGCGTAACTTCCTGCTGTCACCCAGTCCCTCCCACCCACACTAACTCGTGCCCAGAAGGACAAATGACTTAAAGGCAAACAAACAGGGGCCGGGGCTATGACACAGAAGCTAAAGCCATTGCCTGCAATGTCCGGCATCCCATGTGGGTGCCGCTCGAGTCCTGGCTGCTCCACTTCTGATCCAGCTCCCTGCTGATGTTCCTGGGAAAGCAGCAGAAGATGGCCCAAGTCCTTGGGCCCCTGCACCCATGTGGGAGACCTGGAAGAAGCTCCTGGCTCCTGGCTTTGGATGGACCCAGCTCCAGCTGTTGCTGCCATCTGGGGAGTGAACCAGTGGATAGAAGACACCCCCTCCCCCACCTCTGCCTCTGCCTCTTTGTAACTCTGCCTTTCAAATAAATAAATCAATCCTAAAACAAACAAACAAAAAGACACAACAAACTACTGGTGCAGAAGGTTATACTATGGACTCCAGAGGTCATGTAAATGTACCACACTCTGAGCCTTGATTTTCCCGTCTGTCAAATGGGGACAACAATGTCCTCCTTCGCAGAAGGTGCTTGGTGATGGCGCCTGCTCAAGGCTGGCTCAGCTATCTTGGCGTCGTCTGTGTCCTTGTCACCCTTCTCTCTCTGCTGCACCTCCAGCTACACAGTGCAACTCTTCCGCTCCTCTGGTGTAGCCAAAGCTTTGTGGCAGGACTGATGATGGTTGTGCAAGATAACTTGCAGATTCACTGCTAACTTCTATTCTGATAACTATAACTTGCTAAGATGGTGATTTTTCTACCAACATTTTAAAAAATACGATATGCAACCCCAGAATATCTTTTTTAAAGTGATGGCAAACAGTTCTTATTCTCAGCTTTTTTTTTTTTTTTTAAAGTTAAGAAGCAATACCGTGGAGAACTGGCTTGTGTAGAGTTCCCGTTAGCAATCACCCTCTTAAAGAGCTCCTATTTGAAAACCGTATCTTGGGAGGATTTGCTTATCCGCTGTTGATGCTTCTTCCCTCATTTTAGCACTCAATATGGAAAGCACGCGAGGGGAGTCTTTAAGGCAAAGTGTTCCTACGAGGGGGCTTCGGAGCCCACGGGCTTTGGGTCTTATCATGAAGACTTATGGAGCATGAATATTAGTTCTTCCCCACAGAACATCTCAGACAGATAAGATATAACACACAGAAACAGAGACAAGTAAAAGCTAATCATAACTTAGGTTTCATACTCTGGCTGCAACTGCTTAGCTTATATTAAACTTCTATTTCTTTGTTTCACCTACCATTCCCGGGCGAGCTTCTTATAAGCCTTTTTAATGTCAGCCTGACTGGCCGTCCGGCTGACCCCTAGGACTCTGTATGGGTCAAAATCCAACGCAGACAGAATGTGCAGGATCAGAACCAGAACTATCAAGAACTGCCAGGAAATGCTCAACTTTTTCACTTCCATTTCTCTTCCTTTCCAGAGCTGAAATGATTGAAGAGGCAGTGAGTTCCAGCGGCAGAAACCTGGACAGTCTTGCTTTTTAGGTAAAGCTCTAAGATACGCTGTACAGATGAAAACAAAACACACACGAGGTATTGTGCAGGAAACGGGTCAAGTGCGTGACCATCGCTTTTCAAGTCGACAATCTCGCTTCCTCTGGTGGACATCGTAAACAAGAGCTACGACAGGCGAGAGGATGGGCTGCGAGAATTAACAGCAACTCTTAGAATTCTTGGGTTAGAAAAGCTTTAGAAATGACCGGAAATGAATGAGATGAAGAAATAATAAGTGAATGTGTAAAAATATATATAGGACAACCAGGGCAACTGCATCTCCAATACACGGTTTATTCTGACAATAATAGCTTAAGCTGGTTTAGAAATACTTCACGGAGCGTATGTTAAACAAACTCATGAAATCATAAGATTTACCACGTGCTAAGCTACAAAATGAGACAGTTGTGGCATTCTGGGGTGTGAAATAAATACAAATATGACAGTGAAACACTCTCAAAATCTGCAGCTAGGATTTAGCAGGCTTCAATTCTATTCTTTCTTACCATGCCCATTCAAGCAAGGAAACGAAAACGCTGCTTTTTAATTCTTAGCCACACAGAAACCTCAGGTGAGAAGAGCTGGCAACAGACAACTGAGTTCTCCCCGCAGAGGAAGCGTAATGGGAAAGACCGAAGCACAGGTGCAGCCTCCACGCCTTCTAAGGGGGCGGCAGGAGACCTCCCATTGGCGACGCCAGCGTCTCGCACTGGAATCCCCGCCTCTCCGCGTCCGACCCAGCTTCCTTCTCATGCGCCTGCAGGGGCAGCAGGTGGCAGCCCAAGTACTGGGGCTTCTGCCACTCACGCGGGAGACAAGGGTGGCGTGCCTGGCTCCTGGCCTCAGCCCGCCCCAGAGCTGGCTGTTAAAGCCATATGGGGAGTGAGTGACCCAGGGGATGGAAGAGCGCTCTGCCACTCAAGTGAATAAATATATAACTCCCCCCTTTTTAAAAAAGATTTGTATGCATTTATTTGAAACTCAGAATTAGAGAGAGAGAGAGAGAGATCTTCCATCCCCTAGTTCACTCCCCCAAAGGCCCCAATGGCCAGGGCAGGGCCAGAGGAAGCCAGGAGCCAGGAGCTTTCTCCAGGTCTCCCACGTGGGTGCAGGGGCCCAAGCTCCTGGTCCATCCTCTACTGCTTTCCCACGCACATTAGCAGGGAGCTGGATGGGAAGTGGCGCAGCCGGGACTTGAACCGGTGCCCACACGGGATGCCAGCGCTATAGATGGCGGCTCCATCAGCTGCACCACAGCGCCAGCCCCAACATATCACTCTTAAAAAAAAAAAAAAAGTTTTAAGCTCCACCTCTGGCGAGTGCATTGCGCATTTTGGAAATAATCCTGGCTGGTTCATGAGAAAGGTGGCGCTGGCAGGGCAGCCACTGGCACTCCAGGAACACTCCCCTGTTCCAGGGGTAGTAGGTGTCTCCACTTCTCCTGAGTTAATGCGGGGTCAAGGCCGAAGTGTGTGACCCCTAGGAGGGGCAAAGCCGCGGGTGTGACCGCTGCCTGGGAGCCCCAAGCTTAGCACTGCACCTAGGCCGAGTGGAACCCTACAACACACCGGGTCACCTGCTCTGCCCTACCAAAAAGTCAAGGTGACACAGCCACGGGGGAGCTCCGGGGTCCGTCCTCCAGCACCTCGCGAGCGTGGGCAAGTTCCTGAAGTGCACCGAGCCCCAGAGTCCTGGTGCACAGAGCGGGGTCGACGCTACCTGGAGGCCCGAGCGCGCTCGGCAGGCGGTGCTACCATCACTTCCGCCTCGCAGCACGTCCACTGCCTCGTTCAACCGGGCCACGTTCTGCCGACAGGAGACCCCCTGCCCAACAGGTAGGCTGGCCGCCCTCGGGGCAGCGCCCCCAGCGCCAGGCAGGGGCTCCCGGGCACACGCTCGAGGTCTGGGCCCGCCTCGACTCCCGCCGGAGGTCGCGACCCTCCCGCGCGGCCCCCGGGAGCCCCGGGCCGGGCCCGGTCAGCTCCCCGATCTCCCCCCGGGCCCAGCAGGCGCTGGGAGCGAGAAGGGACTAACGGGGGGCCGCCCGAGGCTGCCCGGGCCCGCCGCGTCCTCACACCCGCGCATCACGCCGGGAAGGAGTTACCGGGAGAGGGCACCGGCCCAACCGGCGGCAGCCTCGGCGCTCCAGTGAGTCCGCCGTCCACACCAGCGCTCGCCGGGGCCTGGGGAGGGGAAAGAGGCGGGGATGAGCCGGGGGCGGGGGTTGTGTGTCGTGGGGGAAGAGTCACATGACACTTAAAGGCCCAGCGCACCTATGGCGCTGGGCAAGCGTGTCCGGGTCGTCTATTTCGCGGGTGTGTTTTGGCCCTTGCTGCCTGCCGTCGGCGCGTGGACCTGGCGCGGTTGCTATAGGAACGAGGAGCGCTCTTTGGCTGGATCCAAAGTGTGGATCGTGACCAAAGAGGCCAAAACGTGCCGCCTAGCGAGGCACCGTCGCTCTGCATGACGGGATGCCACGCAGACCTCCCAGATCCAGGGAGGGTTTTCCACTCCGACCGGGAGACGGCCCTCGGCTAGCAACGGTTGCTAGGATGGGGAAGCGATGGCTGGTCCCTGTTCTCTTGAACCCTATTCATAGAATCTTGGAGCGTCAGCGCTGCAGGCGACCTTAGGGATCCTCCATGTTCTGAGTTCCAGGGAGGGGAGGGGACTTCTCTGTGCAGCCCATCCTCGGGGTGCCAGGCCCACCCCCAGGCACCAGGCCCACCCTCGGGGTGCCAGGCCCACCCCCAGGCACAGACAGGAAGCGGGGGCCCCGGGGAAGCCGGCCGCGCAGGTGAACAAGGTAAACTTTCTTTGAGGCAGTGAGATGGGTTCCTTGGGGATAAGAAAAAGCTTTCACACCCCCTGCCTCGTTTTAGGCTTTTATCATCTGCTTTCCTCCCTGCGTTACCACGTCCCTTATTTATATCATTTCCCGTCCCTTCCCGCTGGAGTGCCAGCTCCGGAGAGCCGAGGGAGGCTTCGCTGTGTTTCGTTCACTTCCTTATTCTCAGCGTCTGCACAGGCCCCGGCACACAAATGCCCTCCATAAACACAGGGGGCACTTTAAGTAGTTCGTGGAAAAATGGAATTAAAAGATACATTTGTTCTTGGTACAAAAACATTTTTTAAAAAAAGTCTATGCATCTCGAGGCCGGCGCTGTGGCACAGTGGGTAAAGCTGCCGCCTGCAGTGCCAGCATCCCATATGGGCACCGGTTCAAGACCCGGCTGCTCCACTTCCAATCCAGCTCTCTGTTATAGCCTGGGAAAGCAGTAGAAGATGGCTCAAGTCCTTGGGCCTCTGCACCAGTGTGGGAGACCTGGAAGAAGCTCCTGGCTCCTGGCTTCAGATGGGTGCAGCTCCAGCCGTTGCAGCCATCTGGGGAGTGAACCGGCGGTCACCAAGCTGAAACTAAGTTGTTTATCCGACCCTCTCTGAGAAATGAAGAGAGTTAATAGCCAAATCCCCCTCCCACCCAGGCCAGGTCCAGCCAGCATGCTAAGGCGTCTTCTCTGCTTTAACTATTATAAGAAAAGTAACTTTAAATAAGCACTGCACTCTTCTTCTTTTTAAAAAATATTTGTTTATTTATTGAGAGGCAGTGAAACAGAGAGGGAGAGAGCTTCCATCTGCTGGTTCGGTGCCCAGATGACAGCAATGGCTGAGTGGAAGCCAGGAGCCAGGAGCTTCTTCCAGGTTTCCCATGTATTGGGTCCATCCTCCCCTGCCTTTCCAGGGACATTAGCAGGGAGCTGAATCGGAAATGGGGCAGCCAGGACTGGAGCCGGCACCCATACAGAGGACCGGCATCGCAGGCAGCGGCTTAACCCGCTACCCTGCTACCCCGCGGCACTGGCCCCCGCTTGGACCCATTCTAAGGTGGACTTGGTTCAGAGTGTGGACTGTGGTCAGGTTCAGGTTTGAACAGGGACCAGTGATTTCAGTTCTGCGAGCCTCAGGCCACAGCTGTGACGCAGGGGTGGGGAGAAGCAGGTGGAGAGCACTTGTCTGGAAGACTGTAGTTCGGGATAAACTGAGACGAGGTCTGATGTCACTGGCACAAGGGCTGGGACTCAGCAGATGCTCAACACCCAGGAGCAGTGGAAGTGAGCTGAGCTGAATTATGGGAGTTCAGGTGTTTTCTTTGTGGGCGGTGCTAGGGCGGAAGGGAGGGAAGAGAGGGCTTAGCTGGACGGGACAGGGGAGTTTGGGACAGTAAGCAGGAGGGGGGTGGCTTGGGGTTTTACCGGTGGCAGGGGAGAGGGCTAAGAGGAAACAGAGAGGTCGAGTGGCATGGCACCGGCCATGACAGTAGGCCTGGCTGTCCCTCCTGCTGGCTGAGTGCAGCTGCATCCCTAGTAGCCTTTATTTTTATTTTTATTTTATTTTTTTTGACAGGCAGAGTGGACAGTGAGAGAGAGAGACAGAGAGAAAGGTCTTCCTTTGCCGTTGGTTCACCCTCCAATGGCCGCTGCGGCCGGCGCACTGCGCTGATCCGATGGCAGGAGCCAGGTGCTTTTCCTGGTCTCCCATGGGGTGCAGGGCCCAAGCACTTGGGCCATCCTCCACTGCACTCCCTGGCCACAGCAGAGAGCTGGCCTGGAAGAGGGGCAACCGGGGCAGAATCTGGCGCCCCGAGCGGGGCTAGAACCCAGTGTGCCGGCGCCGCAAGGCGGAGGATTAGCCTAGTGAGCCACGGCGCTGGCCCCCTAGTAGCCTTTTAGTAGGTTTGATCCTATCTCAGTGTTGCCTCCTCAGCGTGTAGATGCTTTGTAAAAGTGAACTTAAACACCTCAGTTCATTTGCTGCCCCTCTAGCCTATGTTGTGTTAGGATCTCGTGGACACTTTCACGTTAGGAACCCCAGGTCCAGATCAAGGAACCAATACCCTGGCTACCTTTACACTCAGACAGACCAGAGCCCCCCTTTGCCATTCCAAAGGAAACACACTAGCCCCTATCACTGCTGGACCAGAGGCAGGCCACACGTACTGTGGACCACTCAGAGGTCCACACAGGAGCGGGTCATGCACTGCTCACCCCCAACTTTAAAAAAAAATTATTCATTTGTTTGAAAGGCAGAGAGAGACAGAGACAGACACACAGATTGTCTTCCATCTGCTGGGTCACTCCTCAAGTTCCCGCAATAGCTGGGGTTGGGCTAGGCAAAAGCCAGGAGCCAGGCGCTCCGTGCAAGTCTCCCACGTGGGTGGCAGGAGCCTCACTTGCCGCAGGCCCAGGCGCATTAGCAGGGAGCTGGATCGGAGGCGGGGCACTGGGGCTGCCCCCTGACATGAGCTGCAAGAGTCGGCGGCTGTACCACAAGGCCGGGCCCTCAGCCCTCGGGAAGGAAGGAAGCAGCAGGGGCCCACCTGCCTGCCCTGAGAATGGCAGTAAACCTTCCTTCTCCCTCCACTGCCGGTCAGCGACTGGCCCCGAGGGCGCTGGGCAAGCGAGCGGTCTTGGGGCGATCTACAGCAATTCCTCCTACTAGTTTTGGGGATATTCTACAGTCTCTGTAAAAGCCGTCTTCATCGATTCTGGTGAAAGACCCGGAAATCCGTGTCACGGTCCAAAAGCAGTTAGCGGTCCTCAGGATGCGGCCACGGGGCGGGCTCTAGGGCGGGACGAAGGCACGGAGGCGGACCATAGGGCGTGGCGAAGGCGCAGGGGCGGACTATAGGGGTGTGGCGAGGGCTCAGGGGCGGTCCTGGGGGGAGTGGCGAGGGTGCGGAGGCGGACCGTGGGGGCGTGGCCAGGACAAAGGGGCGGGCCTTTGGGGCGTGGCCAAGGCTCGGGGCGGACTATGGGGTCGTGGCGAGCGCGCGGAGGCGGAGCTTGGGGGCGTGGCGAGGGCTCAGGGGCGGTCCTGGGGGTGTGTGGCGAGGGCGCGGAGTGGATCCTTAGGGGGGGTTGCATCGAGAGTACGGAGGCGGGCCGTGTGGGCGTGGCGAGGGCGCGGAGGCAGAGAACGGGGGCGTGACGAGCCGCGGAGGCGGGACATGGGGGCGTGGCCAAAGCGCAGGGGCTGACTATGGGGGTGTGGACTATGGGGTCGTGGCGAGGGCGCGGAGTGGGTCCTTGGTGGGGATGCTGCGAGGGTAGGGAGGCGGAGCATAGTGGCATGGCGAGGGTGCGGAGGCAGACTATGGGGCGTGGCGAGGGCACGGAGGCGGACCGTGGGGGCGTGGCCAAGGCGCAGGGGCGGACTATGGGGCGTGGCGAGGGCGCAGGGGTGGTCGGGGGGGGGGTGTAGCGAGGCTGTGAGACGGACCAGGAGGGGTGTGGCGAGGGCGCGGAGTGGTTCCTTGGGGGCGTGGCGAGGAGGCGAAGGCGGACTATGGGGGCGTGGACTATGAGGTCGTGGCGAGGGCGCAGAGGCGGGGGCGAGTAGGCGGGGAGGCCGCCGGGGGTGGGGGAGGGACGTGGAGGCGGGAGCGAGGGGGTGATGAAGAATTTGGGACGCCAACGCGGAAGGCGGGGTCCTTAGGTTCGGGGGGGGGATCCCGGGGTCCCGGGTCTTAGGGCGGTGCTGGGGAGCGGGCCCGGAAGCGGACGGAGCCCCGGGTCCGCGTCTCCTGCCGGCCATGGACGAGGCCGACCGCCAGCTCCTGCGGCGCAGCCGGTTGCGGCTGGTGAAAGAGCTGCAGGTGGCCGAGCTGTGGGACGCGCTGGTCAGCTGCGAGCTCTTCACGGCCGACATGATCGAGGCCATCCAGGTGCGCCCCTCCCTCGCCGCCCCTGACTTCCGCGGGGCTCAGTGGCAGCTCCCGCGCTCGCTTCCCCAAGTACCCCCACTTTGGGGTGCCCTGTGAGCGGGACCCCGCGCACCTCTTGGCTGGGTGCGGGTTACAGCGGCTGCAGGCTCTGGTGTTTCCCTTCTGCAGCACCCTGGTCCCGGGCACCCACCCTGGGGTCGGGCTGCCCGTCAGGGTATCCTTGGGCAAGTCACTTAGCGTCTTTGAGCCCCAGTGCTCTGGGCAGTGATGCTGACCCAAGGACCAAGTGAGACGGTGGATGTGGAAGAGCCTAGAGCCAGGCCCAGAGGGCCCTGTCCACTCTGGCGGGTCCCTAAGGGGCTTTTGGAAGTCAGGAGACCTGATGCGGATAACAGAGAGAAAGGATACATTTGAGGCTGTTCGTGGCTGACCCTCGCCTGGGGCCGGTGAGAGTGTGGGGGTGCAGTGGGTGTGAGTGACTGGCTGCAGGCCTCTGGCCCGGGTTCTGGGCCCAGCAGGCCCAGCCTCGGTGTGGGCACCCTCTCCCTCCCTTTCCTCCTTTCCAGCCTGGGGACTGGCTGCACATTTGCAAAGTGGAAAAAATGCTGCTGCTTCATTTTTCCAGCTGCTAATTAACAATGGCTAAGTGACAGGGAGGCGACCACACAGGAGATCACAGACAGGACAGGACCTTTCAGAGGCTCCGTCGTTAACCTGCAAGGGGAGGGAGAGCCTGTGGGGGACCCCCCGGCACCCACCTTTCTCCCGTGGCCCCTCCATAGTAAGCGCAGTGTGTCCTTGCCCTCCACGCCCAGTTCCTGTGTATCGACTGTCCAGCCCGGGCCCTCCCTCGCCTGGCCACAGCCTGAACTCACGGCCCCTCCCACCCTCTGGGGAACTGTTGTGTGTGTTTGCCTCCTCCCAGACCATGGCCTTGCCCCGGAACGAGTCTGTGATAGACTGTGGCCAGCTGTAAGTGAGTCTCGGGAGCACCTGCTGTGGGGCCTGGACAGGGAGTAGAGATGGCTGGAGGTGACAGTTCCTGCTTCAGACACGTTCAGGGGGACTACAAGCTCAGATGCCCATGGAGGCCTGGGTGGGCGCCATGGTGGGCAGCATCTGTCCTGCCACCCGTCTCCAGCTGCGTGTGCTCAGGCCAGCATGCAGGCCCAGTGTTACTAGGTTTCTTAGGTATTTATTTATTCGTGTTTCTTTTTTTTTAATATTTTATTTATTCGAAAGGTAGAGTTACAGACAGTGAGAGGGAGAGACAGAGAGAGAGGTCTTCTGTCCATTGGTTCACTCCCCAAATGGCTGCAACAGCCAGAGCTGCGCTGGTCCGAAGCCAAGAGCTGGGAGCTTCTTCTGGGTCTCCCACGCAGGTGCAGAGGCCCAAGGACTTGGGCCAACTTCTACTGCTTTCCCAGGCCACAATAGAGAGCTGGGTTGGAAGAGGAGCAGCCGGGACTAGAACCGGCGCCCATATGGGGTGCTGGTGCCGCAGGCAGAGGATTGACCAAGTGAGCCACGGCGCCAGCCCCTATTTATTCATGTTCCTAAAAGATTTATTTACTTTTTTGAAAGGCAGAGTTACCGAGGCAGAGAGAGAGAGAGATTGATTTCATCTGTTGGTTCACTCCCCAGATTTCTTCTGGAGCTGGATTGGAAGTGGAGCAGGCGGGACTAGAACCGGCGCCCATATGGGATGCCGGCACTGCAGGCAGTGGCTTTACCTGCCCCCTATTTATTCATTTTTTAAAGATTTATTTATCTGAGAGGTGGATGACAGAGAGGTGGAGGCAGAGAGAGGTCTTCAATTTGCTGGTTCACTCCCCAAATGGCCACAACGGCCTGAGTTGGGCCGATCCGAAGCAAGGAGTCAGGAGCTTCCTCCAGGTCTCCCACACACATGCGGGCATCTTCTACTGCTTTCCCAGGCCACAGCAGAGAGCTGGATCAGAAGTGGAGCAGCCGGGACTGGAACCTGCGCCTGTATGGGGGGGGGGTACTAGCACTGCAGGTGGTGGCCCCTGTTTATTAATTTTTAAAAAGATTTATTTATTAATTTGAAAGGCAGAGTCACACACACACACAGAGAGAGAGAGAGAGAGAGAGGAGGAGGGAGAGAGCTTCCATCTGCCGGTTCACCCCCTAAATGGCCAAGGCTGGGCCAGACTGAAGCCAGGCTCCTGGAACTCCATCCGGGTCCCCCACATGGTAGCAGGGCCCCAGACTGCTCTTCCTGGGAGACTTGTCTCCTCAGTGGTGTGGTGGGTCTGTGCTGTTCAGTGTCATAGTTATTGGCCACTTGCAACTGTTGGAAATGTAAGTGTTCAGTACTTAAAAATTAAATAAAATTGGGGTCCGCGTTGTGGCGTAGCCGGTAAAGCCACCACCTGCGACAGCAGCATCCCATGTGGGTGCTGGTTGGAGTCTTGACTGTTCCACTTCTTCTTCCTCTTCTTTTTTTTAAAGGTTTATTTTGTTTGTTTGAAAGACAGAGTTGCAGAGAGATGTAGAGTCAGAGAGAGAGATCTTCCACCCTTTGTTTCACTCCCCAAATGATTGCAATGGTCAGAGCTGAGCTAATCTGAAGCCAGGAGCTGGGAGCTTCTTCCAGGTCTCCCATGTGGATGCAGGGGCCCAAGGACTTGGATCATCTTCTACTGCTTTCCCAGGCCATAGCAGAGAGCTGGATCAGAAGAGGAGCAGCAGCCGGGATTTGAACTGGCACCCATGTGGGATGCCGGTGCTGCAGGCTAGGGCTTTAACCCATTGTGCCATAGCACTGGCCCCATGGTCCACTTTGGATCCACCTCCCTGCTAATGCGCCTGGGAAAGCAGCAAAGGATGGCCTACGTGGGATACCCAGAAGAAGCTTCTGGCTCCTGGGTTTGGTCTGGCTCAGCCCTGGCCATTGCAGCCATGTGGAGAGTGAACCAGTGGATGGAAGACCTCTCTCACTCCCTCTCTGTAACTCTGCCTTTCAAATAAATAATAAATATTAAAAAAATAAAAAATTCAGTTAGTACTCAGACTCCCCAAGTGCTCAGTGGCCATGTGTGACTACTGGCTGCCATGTTGGATAGCACAGATGCAAACCATTACCACCATCATGGACAGTTCTGTTAGTACTACTGTAGGATATTTGGGGACAAGGTGGTGTCTTGTCTCTGTGGATCCTGAGGCCCTTGTCCAGTGCTGGGTCCCCAAGGACAGGCAGCAAGAAATCAGCATCTTCCTCCTGCTGCCTGACCTAGTGGCCCTGCCCCTGACACTGTCAGGCAGCCTTGACCACTGCCCCCTCTTCTGTCCACCCAGTGTCTACGTCATGTCGAGTCAACCTCTTTATATGAGGGGACCTTAAAAGTTCATGGAAAGTGGAACTAAAAGATACGTTTATTTTGGTGCAAAAAATAAAATTGAAATCCAAGCACATGAGAGGTCTTCAGAAAGGTCATGGAAAATGCATACGGTGAGGAAACTGTGCAGTTTTCACAGTTCTGAAACCCACTGCTTTGCCGTAGCTCCTCACAGCTCCGAGGATGCATTTCTTAGCATGGCCACGCCAAGGCCTCTCCCTCTCCGCGGCCCGCCTCCCTTTCTTTGAGTCATTATTTGCTTCCTGGTGCTCCTTGGGGTCCCCTTGGTGGTGGCGGTGGTGGGGGCTTGCCTGACTGCCCCGGCCAAGTCCGTTGGCACTGAGCATTTTCCTTCCTGGCCCTTGTCTCCTTGCTGTGTCCTTGCTGATTTGTCTACACCCGCGCTAAACACTGGCTTTTCAGGACTGAGACCTTGCCCTGCCGTCTTTAGCATTTAGCACAGTGTTGGGCACGCGGTAGATGCCTCTGAAACAGAGCAGAGGCTGGGGCGGGTCCCTCGCTCAGGGTACCCTAGGCTCTGTTTCTACCCATGTGTCCCAGATGGGAAATGGGGCGACAAGGAGAGAAGCAGGTGGCACTAAGTGGGTGACTGCGTCTTGTCTTTCTTTCCAAACAGCACGCGGGGACTCGCCGGGATCAGGCCAGGCAGCTGGTCATAGATCTGGAGACCCGAGGGAGGCAGGCCCTTCCTTTGTTCATCTCCTGCCTGGAGGACACTGGCCAGCACACACTGGCTTCTTTCCTGCGAGCCAGTAGGCAGGAACGGGACCCCGAGGCCATCAGACCTCTGCCGCTGACACCCTTTGTGCTGGGACCAGTGGGCCTCCAACCAGAGAAGCCGACAGCGGTGACTTCGCAGGCGGCCCTGGGAAACCTCTCCCCGGTGGTGCTGGGGCCTGAGGAGCTATGGCCAGCCAAGCTCAGGCCAGAGGTTCTCAGGCCGGTGGACTCCAGTTCTGGAGGATTCCGTGATGTCTGTGAGTATCGATGGAGTGTTTGTTGGTTGGGTGTGACTGCTGGTACAGCTGGGTGGGCTGGGGTTCAGAATTTAATTTTGCTATTGTCTTATGGAACATTATGTGGGAGATGGGTGGAACATTCTGGTAAGTCATCAGGAGCGGTAACTTTGGCAGCCCCTCCTCAGAAAAGCATGCGCCCAGGTCTGTTTTGGGTGTCCCAGGTTTTTGCCAGTGTTTCTAGATCCAGCTGTTGTGCAGGATTGGCCTCTGGATAGCTTGGAGTGGCCTGTTGTTGCTGTGGATTCGTTCTGAGAGGTGAAGCGGTGGGGACAAGAGGCATGAAGTCACCACACAGACCCCGGGAGTGGGCCAGAGGCAAGCAACCCGCAGACTCATTTATTTCAGTTGGTGCAGCAGCTTATGCAGCTGAGGCAGCCAATCCGGTCAAGGGGCGGTTTATGTCCTAACCAATCACTGTCTATTGCCAGGCAGGCTCCATTGCCAGGTGGGTTCCGAAGCCATTTCCTGAGTAACTGACACTTGCTAGCCAGCACCATCTTGACACGGCCTTCTCATTCCACCACAGCCCGTGCCTGGGGCAGGAGGGAGGCCTCAGCTCAGAGTCTGCTCCCTGTGTGCACCTGCAGAGTACATCCCCCTGCCCGCCTCCCTTGTCGGGCAGCAAACCGGGGCTTAGGAGGCGGAAGTCAGTTACTTAAGGTCACAAGGCCACATCCGGCAAAATGCATGAGTCCCGAGAGCAGAGTTGGATGATTTTAACCGACGGGCACTCCCAGGTCAGCAACACCTGGGTCATCCCAGTGTCCTCCACAGCTCTTCCTCCTAGTCTGTTCCCACTCCCCGCACCCAAGGGAGTCACTGTTCCCGTCTCTGTCTCCTTGAACTTCCGAAGGAATGAAGTGCTGCCATGTGCACTCCAGAGTCTGGCTGCTTCCGCCCATCCTTGCTCTGGGGCACGCGTCCACGTTGTTGTGCATAGTGGGTGTCCATTCTTTTTCACTGCTAGGTGGTGGTGGGGTTCCTGTTCTGGATACTGTTCTGCTGATGGACCTGGGTGGTTGTCAGTAGCACTTGGCTTCCTTGGCAGCGCGGGGAGATCTGGGGCTGCTCGTTTCCTGGTTGCCCAGTGGGCCGTCGTGCGGTACTAGCAGGGGTAGTGGTTAGCAGTACTGAGTATCTACTGCAGATTGAGCAGCCCTTGTCTGAACTGCTGGGACTGGAACTGTTTCAAATTTCTCATTTTATTTTATTTTTAGACAAAATGGGATGTCTTGGGAATGGGGCCCAAATAAACATGAAATTCATTCATATTTTCATAAATGCCACATAGTCTGAAGGTATTTTTTTTTTAATTTTATTTATTTATTTTAGAGGCAGAGTTACAACGAAGGGGAGAGACAGACAGAAAGGTCTTCTATCCACTGGTTTGTTCCCCAAGTGGCTGCAATGGCTGGAACTGGGCCAGTCCGAAGCCAGGAGCTTCTTCCAGGTCTCCAACACAGGTGCAGGGGCCCAAGCACTTGGGCCTTCTTCTACTGCTTTACCAGGCTATAAGCAGAGAGCTGGATCGGAAGAGGAATAACCGGGACATAAACTGGTGCCCATATGGGATGCCGGCACTGCAGACGGGGGCTTAGCTCACTATGCCACAGCACTGGCCCCATGAAGATAATTTTATACAGTGTCATTAGTGTGGTTACATTTTGATAGTGATCCGTTGCGGGAAGTCAGGTGTGAAATTACCGCTCCGGTGTCACGTCAGTGAGTTTTGGGTTTTTGGGTTAGGGATGTTCAAAGCGCTTACATAAATGATCTAATCAATCTCCCAGCTCTCTCTCAAGGCCTCCCATGTGGATGGCAGGGTCCAAATACTTGGGCCATCCTCTTCTGTTTTCCCAGGCATATTAGCAGGGAGCTGGATCAGAAGTGAAGCAGCGAAGACTTGAACCAGTGCTCATATGGGATTCTGGCATTGTAGGCCATGGCCTAACCTGCTGTGCCACAGTGCCAGCCCATGGGCCCAACGCCACTTGGGACATTATCAATTCATTGCTTCCCAGGCGCATTAGCAGGGGAATGGATTGGAAGCGGCTGAGCCGGCTGTGCCACGACACCTGCCCCGTCCGTGAACTTTTGAAGACCACTTGGATGTATCTAGAGAGAGATTCATTATCGGGAATTGGCTCTCATGATCACGGAGGCAGAGCGGGCCCACAGTTTGCTGCGTGCGTGCTGTGGTGTGGTTCCAGCCAAGTGTGAGAGTCAGGATTTCCGATGTGTGTGTCCTTGGTAGAGGGCCAGGAGGCCCCATTCCCACCTCGGGTGGTGAGGCCCACCAAGGTCAGATTCTCCCTCTCTCTGTTGCATTTGGGGCTTCAGTGGGTTGGATGAGGTGGCCCACAGTGGCGAACTCTCCTGCTGTCCTGAGTCCACCAGGTCAGATGCTAATCTCTCCCAGAATTCCAGAAGGACCGTCACGGACACACTCAGAAATAGCATGTAACCGAATACCTGGGCACCCCCTGGGCAGTGACGTCGACACCTAGCCCTACCCAGCCCCGTGGCTTCTCTGCTCATGCCTCTCCCGGGGTTAGGACTTTCTGGAAAGTAAAGGTTGGTGTTAGCCTGGCCCGGCCCCTCCACTCCGGGGCTGGTGGCTGTGCTCACCGCCCCGCGCCGCTCGGGCTCTCTGAGGCTCTGTCAGAGGGGACGGACGACAGCGTTTGTTGCAGAACTGCTCTTAGGAGTCAGCGAGGCCGTATGTGGAAAGCGCTCCCCACAGGGCCTCGCAGGAAGTGGGTGATCGGGGACGTTTGCAGGAAGTGGGTGATCAGTGACTTCCGCATTACTGAGACTGGGAAGAGGCTAGTTGGAGGGCACGCCCCCTTCCCCCACTTCTCTCTGTGGGTGACACGGGCCTGTACCCAGTGACTCCCTGGCTAAGAAGCTGATTCTTTTGCAAACACGCTTAGTCACATGTGTTTGTCACCCGCGTGGGAGCTGCCATTTTGGGAGAAACACCTTTCAAGCACCATGTAGCTGACCTCTGCTCCAGTGTGGCTTTTAAATTGGCAAGAGGTAGTTCCTAGCAAGGGGCCAGGCCTGCTCTACGCAATGAGTGACAGCATTATTTCAACCTCCCACCAGCTTCAGGAAGCCACCAAGATAAACAAGTTATCTTGGTTTAAAGAGAGAGAGAGAGAGAGAGAGATAGAGAGAGAGAGCGCGAGCCCTACAGCCTTCCAGGCTGGTGGCCAGCTGAGCTCTTGCTCGCTGAAATGAAAACGCCAGGGCAGATGTTTGGTGCAGCGGTTACGAAGCCGCCTGGGATGCCTGCACCCTGCTCCTGATGGCAGCTTCTTGCTACTGTGCACCCTGGGGGGCTACAGATGATGGCTCAAGTAGTTGGGTCCCTGCTATCCACATGGGAGACCTGGATGGAATTCCTGGCTCCTGGCTGTTGCAGGCATTGGAGGAATGAGCCAGCAGGCAGAATCTCTCTCTCTTTCAAATAAATGAATAACTTAAAAAGGAGTGAAGGGGCCAGCGTTGTACAGCTCATGATGCTGGCATCCATATGAGTGCCGGTTCAAGTCTCAGTTGTGCTGCTTCCCACCCGGCTCCCGGCTAATGTCCCTGGGAAGGCAGCAGTGGACAGCCTGAGCATCTGGGCCCCTGCCACCCGTGTAGGGGACTCACGTGGAGCTCCAGGCTCCTGGCTTTGGCCTGGACCAGTCCTGGCTGCTGCAGGCATTGGAGGAGTGAACCAGCAGATGGAAGATGTCTTTTTCTGTCTCTGTCTCTCCCTTTGCGGCACTCTGCCTGCCAAATAAATTAATAAAAAAGTGAAAACTCTTGATGTTGCAGGGAAATGAGCGTTTTTACTCATTTACTTATTCTGCAGATATTTCTGGAGGCCCACTGTGCACCAGTGGACCTGCAGACCAGGAGCGTCTGGTCTCCGGACTTCCCTTCCTCCTCCTCTTCTGGAACTTCACATACATGGAGGAACTACGTATAAATTCTGGAACTTCATATAAACTGTTTTGCAACGGGTTTTTGTTTCCCATAATGCTTTTGAGGTCATCCATGGTGTTGCGAGTATCGGTAGCTTGCTTGTTTTCTAGCTGTTGTGGGTCTCAGTGGATCCCAGTTTGTGTATTCATCAGCTTGTCACATTGGTTATCTCCAGTTTGGGACTTTATGTAAATAAGGCTCAGTGAAGACTCCTGGCCAAGTCTTTCTGTGCGCATGTCACTCTTTTCTCTTGGAGATGCACCTGAGGGTGGGCCTGCCGCTCAGAGGCAGGTGTGAGTTTAACTCTATTAGAAACTTGTGGGAGCTGGTGCTGTGGTATAGCAGGTGAAGCCGCCACCTGCAGTGCTGGCGTCCCAAGTGGGCACTGGTTCGAGTCCCAGCTGCTCCACTTCTGATCCAGCTCTCTGCTATGGCCTGGGAAAGCAGCAGAAGATGGCCCAAGTCCTTGGGTCCCTGCACCCATGTGGGAGACCTGGAAGAAGCTCCTGGCTCCTGACTTTGGATCAACACAGCTCCAGCCATTGCAGCCAATTAGGAAGTGAACCAGTGGATGAAAGACCTCCCTCTCTGTCTCTCTGCCTCTCCTTCTCTCTCTGTGTAACTCTGACTTTCAAATAAATAAATAAATATTTTTTTAAAAAACCTTGTAGGCAGTTCTGCAAGGTGGCTGCCACAGGACTCTCCCACCAGCACAGTCTGGGAGTCCCTAAGTTCCCACTCCTCTCTGTTCGTGTGGGGGTTGTCTTCACAGGGGACCCTCACGTCCCTGTTTCCCTCTTACTTTTCTCTCTAGGTGCTCAGGATGGTGTGAGAGGAAACGTGGATTTGGTGAGTCTGTGTGTGATCCAAGGCCAGTAGCTGGAATGGAGTTCTACTTCCAGCCCTCTGGGAGTCCATGAACCCTGCCCTGGCCAGCGCTCGCTGGAGCAGATCATTCAACCCCGCTTTCCCTCAGCTGTAAAGTCAGGGGCGGCGTCAGCGTCCGCCCACCCCGTCACTGCGCTCGCTCATACAGGTGTTTACTGCACGCGTGGCCCCCTGGCTCCACGCTGGAGCGCCCTGGACAAGAGCTGCTGGCCCTGGCGGAGCCATCAGACTAGCTGGGGAGAGAGAAGATAGGCAAGTGAAAGGCGTGCCCGTGGAAATCGGGTCATGTGCCACGGGATGATGTTTCTGTCAACCAGGGGCCACTTAGTGATGTCACAGCCGTGACATTCCCCCCGTGAAGCGTCCGCTTAGCTCAGCCCTGTGTGGCTGCAGTGCTGTGTGCCCTAAACAAGAGTGGGCTCTGGGAGACAGCAGGGGAGTGAGCCTGGGCGGGAAGCAGCCTCCGACACCCGCACGGCGGCCAGGTCCCAGTCGCTCACTGAGCTGGCCTTGAAATTCTCAGGTGCTCTGTGGGTGAGAGCCTTGAGACTAGTGATTTTTTTTTTTAGAATACTTTTATTTAATAAACATAAACTTCATAGGTAAGCTTCAGGAATATAGTGGTTCTCATATATCCGCCCTCACCCCCGTTCCTCTCCCACCTCCTACTCCCTCTCCCATCCCATTCTTCATTAAAATTCATTTGTATTTATCTTTATATACAGAAGCCCAACTGTATACTAAGTAAAGATTTCAACAGTTGGCACCCACACAGACACACAAAGTATGAAGTACTGTTTGAAGACTAAATTTACCATTAATTCTCATAGTACAACTCATTAAGGACAGAAGTCCTCCATGGGGAGCAAGTGCACGGTGATTCCTGTTGTTAACAATTGACACTCTTATTTATGACGTCAGAGATCACCGAGGCTCTTGCCATGAGCTGCCAAGGCTGTGGAAGCCTCTTGAGTCCACAAACTCCGACCTTATGTAGACAAGGCCATAGTCAAAGTAGAAGTTCTCTCCTCCCTCCTTCTCTGATGGCCCCTTCTTCCCACTGGGATCTCACTCACAGAGATCCTTCATGTAGGCCACTTTTTGCCACAGTAGAGACCAGTGATTCTTAAGGTCCTTCTGGGGGGAGTGCCTTTGGGGGTGGGGTTACTGAGGCTGGAGCTGATCTTCTGCCCTGGCCCCGGGGCAGACCGGGAGCTACGGGCGTGGGAACCAGGGGCTTGCTGCCTCTGCCAGGGTCAGGGGTGGGGGCCTGGTGGGACCCCGGCTTATGCTGGGCCCTGTGCTCCTGCAGGCGTACGTCCTGGACGCAGAGCCCTGTGGCCACTGCCTCATCATCAACAACGTGAACTTCAGCAGCACCTCGGGGCTCAGCGCCCGCAACGGCTCCAACATCGACTGCGCGAAACTGCAGCACCGCTTCTGCTCGCTGCACTTCACCGTGGAGGTGAAGCCTGACCTGACCGCCAAGGTGCAGTCCCCACCCACCGAGGAAGCGGGCGGGCGGGGTGGGTGGGGGGGCGGCAGTAGCGGTCCAGTGGTCGGCCCCGTGGTCGCAGGTTCAAGCCTCAGGCTCAGGGAAGTGTGGGTTTCAGGACTGGCACTCTTGGTTCGGCTGTGTGACCTCTTGTGCCTCAGTTTCCCTGTGTAGAAGACAAGATTGTGTTGTGGGGCTTACATGAGGGATGCCCAGCACAGCACCTTTCCCCTGAGAGCCCTAGCCCTGGCTGCTGTGATGGGGTGGTGACTGTCACTCCGTCAGCCCCTGGGAGCAGAGAATGTGCCCCGCCCAAGCCTTTGGGCTGATCCATGTGCAGCCTGGAGGGGCCGGGGAGGTGGCCTGATGGCCCATGCTGTGGCTCATGTGCAGCCTTCCCTCGTAGGAAATGCTCCTGGCCTTGGCGGAGCTGGCACAGCGGGACCACAGCGCCCTGGACTGCTGCGTGGTTGTCATCCTGTCTCACGGCTGCCAGGTAGGAGGCTGTCCTCCGTGTGGCCTGGCCCCTGGGGCTGTGTGCCACGGGGCTCTCCCCTCCCGTGCCCAGAGTGCCCTTGGCCGACCCTCACTTCTTGGTTCTGTAACCAGGATTCTTGGTCTTCCAGGCCAGCCACCTCCAGTTCCCTGGGGCCGTCTATGGCACGGACGGATACCCCGTGCCCGTTGAGAGAGTCGTGAACATCTTCAACGGGACCAGCTGCCCCAGCCTGGGTGGGAAGCCCAAGCTCTTCTTCATCCAGGCCTGCGGAGGGGGTAAGCAGCAGCTCGGCCTCCCCGGGTGCCCACGGGGCCTCTCCAGACACGGTCACTGCGGTGCCCAGCCGGAGCCGGCCTCAGCGTCACCCGCTCTGCGGAGCGAGCGCTCCTCTCTGGGGTGGTGCAGGAGGGTCCCGGGCTCTGTCACCTTGCCGACCTCCACTCCAGGGCCTTGGCACAAACAAGCGGAGGGGAGCAAGGGAGCAGCTTGGACCCCTCCCAGCCTCCATCCGCGAGGGCCTCTTTCCACCATCCCACAGGGAACCGCGCGGGGAATCGAAGGAGTTCCATTGTTGGGATTCTCATTGTTGGGGGTCTGAGGAATTTCTAAGGACTATTTGGATTGTTGTAGTTTTGCCGTCTGCGTGGGTGTAACTCTAACCCCTACTTCACCATTGCCTGATTTTAAAAAAGTAATTTATTTACTTGAAATGCAGACAGAGAAAGAGGGAGAGGTCGATCCCATTGGCTGGTTCACTCCCCAGATGCCGTAACAGCAGGTGCTGGGCCAGGCTGAAGCCAGGAGCCAGGCGCTCCATCCGGGCCTCCCATGTGGGTGCAGGGGCTGGGCCGTCCTCTGCTGCTTCCCAGGCGCACCGGCAGGGAGCTGGATCAGAAGTATCATCACTGGGACTCGAACTGGCATCCAGTGTGAGATGTGGGCCTCCCAAGAGGCGGGTTAAGCCACTGTACCACAGCATTCACCCCCAGTTTCCTGATTTTCTAGTCAAATAAGAAGGAAGAGAGGCAGCGCTAGCTCCCTGGGTCCTGATGGCAGTGGCGGGAGCACTGGAGACTCCAGGCCAGGGAGGTCCCTCTGCTCCCGGCTCTCTGGGGCTGGGACACCTGGCAGGTGATTCGGCTCCTTGCCCTTGGGCCTGATCTGCCAGAGAAATGGGCGTTGCTGTACCGCAGCCCCGTGCACCTTGCCCCAGGGGCACCGTGCACACCAGCAACGCGTGACATGGCTCTGGGCTGCCAGCCTCCTGGGGTCATCGGGGTTTCGCTGGTCTTATGTCCCCCACACCCAGCCCGCATGCTGGTCAGCATTTGTCCAGCTAGGGAAATTCCTGACACCGGCTACTTAGGAAGAAGGGGTTGTTCTAGCCCACAGCTCTGGGGTTCACGGTACAGACGGCAGAGCACAGACCCAGAGCATCAGCGCACAGTCCAGAGAGCAGTGCTGGGGGTGTGGTCAGAGAAGCAGTGATTCCATCTGCAGCCACACCAGAGAGAGGCTGGGTAGGGCCAAACTTAGGCCTTTATAACGTCCCTCTGTCTTGAGAACCAAGGAGTCACCACCTCCTGGAAGTCTTCCCTGATCACCCCCTCCTTGCACAGAGTCGGGATTGGCTGCTCCTGTGGCCCACTCTTCCTGTTCCGTAGCACCTTGTTCTCGTGCTGAGATGGCCTCTTCTGGTGTCAGCTCTTGGCGAGCAGGGCCAGGGCCGTCTGCCCCACAACCAGGTCCCCAGACTGGAACAAAGCTCAGATCTGATCGCATCTTACGTGGATTCTAAATATCTGAATTTGAAGTAGAAGCCCAGGAAAGCAGTGGAAGATGGCCCAAGTCCTTGGGCCCCTGCCTTCCACACAGGAGACTGGGAAGAAGCCCCTGGCTCCTGATTCTGGCCTGGTCCAGCCTCGGCGGTTGTGGCCGTCTGGAGAGTGAACTGGCGGTTAGAAGAGATCTCGCTCTGTCTCTTTCTCTAGCTATGCCTTTCAAATAAATAAATAATTTTTTTAAAGAGCAAAGCTAAATATAGCAGCCTCATGGGGACAGCAACGTTTCAAAGCTGGAATGTGACTCGGATGTCCCCGGAGTTCCCATCTCTGCTGAGTGACCTGGTGTTTAACAGTGCTGCCACACGGTGGCGCCACTCAGCCGGGCACAGGAATTCTGGGTTTCTCTGTTCAGGCCTGGTTACATTCATCAGAACACCTACCCTGGATCTGACTCTTGGATTGCTGTTATATGTATTTGTATTTATTTGGGAAGCAGAGAGAGCTGCCATCTGGGCTGGACCAGGCAGAAGCCGGGAGCCGGAAGTCAGTCGGCATCTCCCATGTGGGTGGCAGGGCCCCAGGCACTTGAACCATCACTTGCTAGCTGCTGGGGTGCACATTAGTAGGAAACTAGAATTGGGAGCGGAGCTGGGACCTGAACCCAGGCGCTGGATTTATGCTTTGTGGTATCTGGAACACACGCCAAGTGCCTGTCCCCGGATTGCTGTTTTAAATGTAACTGTTGGAACTTAAAGCACCCTTCAACACGTCCCCACGACAAGGTCACAGCACCAGGGCTGACAGGCCACCCACAAGGTCAGCCACTGTGGTGTCGGCGCGGTTTGGCGAGAGCCAGGCTGCCACCGGCTGTGCCAAGCTTCAGTTCCTGGGGTGACCGCGCTGAGGTGAAGGCCAAGGCCGCCAGTGTGCTGCAGTGGGCGTGGACTCTGTGTGCAGAGGGAACATCTCCCGGCGTCCGTCTGTTCTTGGTGGGGGGAGGGGAGTTTTGAATTCATGAGGCCCCTGAGAAACACTCGAGCAGGAGATGCCTCGCCCCGTAGGCGGGGCCTTCACCTCGGATCTCCCTAGCGGGGCTGACACACGCTGGAGACACCTCGGCTCGCCTCCGCCTCCGGCTGACCCGCTCTTCCCCTCCCCTGTCAGTGCCTGCGGCTGCCTCTTGTGTTTTCCTTCCTTCCCTCCCCTCCCTTCCCCTCCCTTCCCTCCCTTTTTCTTCCTTTTAAATTTATTTATTTATTTGAAAGTCAGAGTTACAGAGAGAGAGAGGTCTTCCATCCTATGGTTCACTCCACAGTTGGCTACACCAGCCAGAGCTGGGCCGATCCAAAGACAGGAGCCAGGAGCTTCTTCCATGTCTCCCGCATGGGTGCAGGGGCCCAAGCACTTGGGCCATCTTCTGCTGCTTTCCCAGGCCACAGCAGAGAGCTGGGTCGGAAGTGGAGCAGCCAGGTCTCGAACCAGCGCCCATATGGGATGCTGGCACTTCAGGCCAGGGCGTTAACCCACTGCATCACAGCACCGGCCCCCTTTCTGCCTTTTTTTTTTTTTTTTTAAGATTTATTTATTTGAAAGGCAGAGTGAGAGAGAGAGAGAGAGAGAGAGAGAGAAGGCTTCCATCCATTGGTTCACTCCCTAGATGGCCGCAGTGGCTGGAACTGGGCCAATCTGAAGCCAGGAGCCAGGAGCTTCTTCTGGGTCTCCATGTGGGTGCAGGGGCCCAAGCACTTGGGTCATCTTCCACTGCTTTCTTAGGCCATAGCAGAGAGCTGAATTGGAAGTGGAGCAGCCAGGACTCGAACCGGTGCCCATATGGGATGCTGGTGTTGCAGGTGGAGGATTAACCCACTGCACCACAGTGCTGGCCCCCTGCATTGATTTTTGTATGTTGAACCATCCTTGTATTCCAGGAATAAATCCCACATGGTCATGGTATATGATCTTTTTAAAAATTTTATATAAGGGGGCGGGCGCTGTGGCATAGCGGGTAAAGCTGCCGCTTGCAGTGCCGGCATCCCATATTGGGCGCCAGTGTGAGACCCGGCTGCTCCACTTCCGATCCAGCTCTCTGCTATGGCCTGGGAAAGCAGTAGAAGATGGCCCAAGTCCTTGGGCCCTTGCATCTGCGTGGAAGACCCGGAAGAAGCTCCTGGCTCCTGTCTTTGGATTGGCGCAGCTCCGGCCATTGTGGCCAGCTGGAGAGTGAACCAGCGAATGGAAGAACACTCTCTCTCTCTCTCTCTCTCCCCCCCCCCGCCTCTTCTTCTCTCTCTATGTAACTCTGACTTTCAAATAAATAAATATTTTAAAAATGTATATAAGGTAGCACATTTCATATGTACAGATGTAGGATCATAGTCATACTCCTCATCCCACCTCCCTCCTGCCCATGTTCCACCCTCTCTCCTCCTTCCTTTCTTAATCTTTTAATTTTTACAATGATCTACTTTCAGTTTATTTTATAATCATAAAATTTACCCCTCCATTAGGTAAAGAACTCAACAAATAGAAGAAAAAAACCACTGTGCCTCAACAGTAGAGACAAGGGCTGTAAACAATGATCAGTTGCTAAGATGTCAGTTTCGCTAGCATACATTACATTATTTTGTATTCTGTTGGTTACCGTGGATCAGGGAAACATACGGTATTTGCCTTTTTGGGAGTGGCTTAGTTCACTGGCTACGATGGCTTTTGTTGTATCTATTTTGCCATGAAAGACAGGATTTCCTTCTCTCGTGGCTGAGTCGTCTTCCACGGTGAATAGTCCTCACACTGGCTTTCTCCAGTCATCAGCTGATGGGCGTCTGCGTTGATGCCGCAGCTCAGCTGTTGTGAACGGAGCTGCAGGTGTGTGATCTCCCGTGTTGCAGAGTCTGGCCTGTTAGTGTTTTATTGAGAATGGTTGCATCAGTGTTCATAAGGGGCATTGGTCTGTTGTCTCCCCTTATGGAGGATCTTTGTGTGGCTTTAGTGTCCCGGTAATTCTGGGCTCTGACAAGGAGTTAGGAAGTGTTCCCTTCTCTTTATTATTTTTTTTTAAAGATTAATTTGGGCCCAGCATTGTGGCGGAGTAGGTTAAGCCTTTCTTTTCAAAAACCAACTTTTATGTTCATCAGTTTTCCCTAGTGTTTTTCTATTCTCTATTCTGTTTATCTCTGCTCTAGGTAGCTTTTTTTTTTTAAGTCTAAGTCTCGGCATAAATTTATGGCGTGGGATTTGCACTTTGAGCCAGAAGGGCTTTGTCTTGTGCTTGGATCCTCCCCAGGGCTTGCGTTGATCGGTGCTCATGTTCCATGGTGTCCTGTGCGTGCATGTGTGTGTCTGCGATCTGTGTCTACACTGTGTGCTTAAAAAACACTTTGTAATAACCCAGGGACAATGCTCTATGAATCAGCCTAGTCTGGGTATTTCATATCGATGATATCGACTTCTTTCACTCAGCACAACATTTTCAGAGTTCCCTGTGTTGTAGCGTGCAGCAGTAGTTCACTTAAATTTTAAGGCTGAGTAATAATCCATTGTATGAACACACAACAGTTTGCTTACCCATTCATCTGTCAGTGGGTACTGGGTCATTTCTACCTTTTAGCAATTGTGAATAATGCTGCCATGGATTTTTGCATGCAAAGTTTTGTTTGAACACCTGTTTTTCGTTCTTCTGGATGCCTGTTTTATAACTTGTTTTTCTTTTTAATTTAATTTTTAAAAAGATTTATTTATTTGAAAGTCAGAGTTACACAGAGAGAAGGAGAGGCAGAGAGAGAGAGAGAGAGAGAGAGAGAGAGAGAGAGAGAGAGGTCTTCTATCTGCTGGTTCACTCCCTAGATGGCCACAACACCCAGAGCTGTGTCAATCTGAAGCCAGGAGCCAAGAGCTTCCTCCAGGTCTCCCACGCAGGTGCAGGGGCCCAAGGACTTGGGTCATCCTCCACTGCTTTCCCAGGCCATAGCAGAGAGCTGGATCGGAGGTGGAGCAGCCGGGACTTGAACTGGCTCCCGTATGGGATGCCAGCACTGCAGGCGGTGACTTTACCTGTTACACCACAGCGCCGGCCCCGTAACTTGCTTTTATGTGTTTTAAAGTGTTCTGCAGTCTCCTTTCTTCCTCCGAATCACACTCACAAATGTGTAAACTTGTGGTGTAGAAACCAGCACAGCTTCTGTTCCCGTTCCCTGCTTGTGTTTGCCAGCCTTGCGAGCCTGGCTGCAGAGGAGTCCAGCGGCCTTGGGCTGGGGACTGGCCGCGTGGGGCTGAGACGTGGGGCTGCAGCCTGGGTCTGTGTGGTTCAGGGTCACGCGGGGTTTGTTTCTGCTTCCTGCAGAGCAGAAGGACCACGGGTTTGAGGTGGCCTCCGCTTGTCCCGAAGACAGGACCTCTGGGCACAACCTGGAGCCGGATGCCACCCCATTCCAGGGAGGCCCGAGGACCTCCGATGACCAGGTGGATGCTGTGTCTAGCTTGCCCACGCCCAGTGACATCCTCGTGTCCTACTCCACCTTCCCAGGTGAGTGCAGCAGGGGGGTGCGCACTCCTGGCAGCAGTCCTCTGGTTTGCCCTGGGGGCAGCTGTGTTGGGTAAGAAGGGACCTGGGAGTTCTGGTTCCAGCTCTTGCTGCCACTGGTGTCACCTTGAGAGATCCCTTCACCTCTCAGAGCCTCTGCTGGGGGAGGGGGGACGGAGGCAGAAGGAGGGAGGAAGGGGAAAGGAGAGGGGAAGAGGGGAAGGAGGAGGAGGGGAGGGCTAGAGGGGGTAAGAGGGGAGGAGGAAGGGGGTGAGGGAGTAAGAAAGGGAGGAGGGAAGGAGGGGAGGGCTAGAGGGGGTAAGAGGGCAGGAGGAAGGGGGTGAGGGAGTAAGAAAGGGAGGGGGAAGGAGGGGAGGGCAGGGGGGAGGGGAGGCTCCTGGGACGCAGTTTCCACAGGCACACGCCCTTGGGTTTGCCTCATTTGCCACACTCCTCCCGGCTTTGCCTCAGCCTTCTCTTTAGAACGGGAATGATAACTGTACCAGAGAGGTTGTCCTGGAGCTTACACAGGGGACTCGACCACCACTGAGCGTGAGGCCTGGGAGGCAGGTGGTGGGACAGGCAGTGGTTCCCTCCCTCCCTCCCTCCCTCCCTTTCTTTTTTCAAGATTTCTTTATTTATTTGAGAGGCAGAGTTGTAGAGAGAGAGAGGGAGAGACAGAGAGGTCTTCCGTCTGCTGGTTCACTCCCCAGATGGCTGTAAAGACTGGAGCTGAGCTGATCAGAAGCCAGGAGCTTCTTCCAGGTCTCCCATGCGTGTTCAGGGACCCAAGCAGAGAGCTGGGTCGGAAATGGAGCAGCCGGGACACAAACTGGCACCCATATGGATGCAGGTGCCACAGGCAGAGGCTTAGCCCACCATGCCACAGCGCCGGGAGACAGAGCCCATCTGCTGGTTCACTCCCTGAACGGCCTGGGCTGGGCAGGCTGAAGCAGGAGCCGGGAATGTGATCCAGATCTCCCACGTGGGTAGCAGGGACCCAATTACTTGAGCCATCGTCACCGCTGCCTTCAGTGTCTGCATTGGCAGGAAGCGGAGTCAGGAGTGGAGCCGGTGTTGATGGGGGACGCAGGCACCCTAAGTGGCATCTTAGCCGCCAGGCCAAACGCCCTCCTTCCTTTCCGTTCTTATCTCTTGGGTGAGTCACTTCCCGGAGCCTTGGTTTCCTTGCTGGGAAAACGAGCGTCTCAGCCAGATCTGCAGGTGGTGGTGAGGGTGAAGCAAGGTCAGAGAGGCCAGAGCCACAGGGATGTGGGCTTCCGCCAGGCGCACGCGTGGGTCCGAGTCTGGGGGTGCTGGCCCGCGTGCCCGGACAGGGCCTGCTCTCCCATGGAGTGTCCACTTTCCCCTTCGAAGGTTTCGTCTCCTGGAGGGATCCCAAGAGCGGCTCGTGGTACGTGGAGACCCTGGACCACATCCTGGGGCGGTGGGCTCCCACCGAAGACCTACAGTCCCTGCTGCTCCGGGTGAGTACTGCCTTCCTCTACCGGAGAGAGGGGGCCCGCTGCGGGGGGAGGGGGGGGGCGGCACTGCCTCCCCCGGCTGGGGAGAGGCGGGCACTGGGCTCAGGCTCGGGGGTTGGGGGAGATGCTTTGGCTTTTGTGAGAGCTGCAGGGGCTTTTGCTTCTTAACAAGGATGGGACTGCTAGGGGTGACATTAATCTTTTTCTTAAAGGGCCACCTTCCCCTGTGTCGTCCGAGGGTGGGAGGCTCAGGAGCCAGGGCGTGGCATCCAGGGGTGATGGATGGAGGAGGGTGGGCCTGTCCTGCAGCCCACCCCACTGTGTAATCTTCTACTTGACCCTCAAGCATGAAGGACCCCTGCTGAGTACACCCCCTTCTCAGGGGGCTTCAGCGAGAGACGGGCTGGTAAGGGTGGCCTGGCAGGCCCGGCCCTGCTGCGTGAAAGCCCCGCTCAGAGCGGCTGCTTCCTCCGTGGGCCCCAGAGCCTCGCTGCTGCCTTTGCCACCTTCACGTGGGTCCCCCCACAGCTCTGCTTAGCTCACTGGTGCTGTGAGGGGGGCAGGGGGGCTGGGACACTCCTTGCTCCGGAAGAAGGGTCTGACCCTGAGCCTTGCTGAGCAGAGTTGATGCAAGAACCCCGGGCAACTGACTGGCGCTGCGGCTGAACAGGCTAATCCTCTGCCTGTGGCGCCGGCACACTGGGTTCTAGTCCCGGTCGGGGCGCTGGATTCTGTCCCGGTTGCCCCTCTTCCAGGCCAGCTCTCTGCTGTGGCCCGGGAGTGCAGTGGAGGATGGCCCAGGTGCTTGGGCCCTGCACCCCATGGGAGACCAGGGGAAGTACCTGGCTCCTGGCTTCGGATCAGCGCAATGTGCCGGCCACAGCGTGCCGGCCATAGCAGCCATTGAGGGGTGAACCAACGGCAAAGGAAGACCTTTCTCTCTCTCTCTCTCTCTCTCTCTCTCACTGTCCACTCTGCCTGTCAAAAAATTAAAAAAAAAAAAAAAAGAACCCCAGGCAAGCATGGGCACTTCCTCGCACAATCCCAGGGCCAGGTACCCCAGTCCCTGGGCATGTGACCCTCAGAGGTGGCTGGAGTTCCTGCAGGGCCGGGGAAGGAGGCACCCAGGGCCACGTGATACGTGCCACTGCTGGTCCTGAATCTTGTCACCTTTTTTGGGTGCAAACTTTTCAGTCTGATTTGTATTTGGTGTTTTTGGAATTGAAGTTTTTTTATTTTAAGGTTTATTTATTTACTTGAAAGGCAGAGTTACACAGAGAAAGAGAGAGAGAGAGGTCTTCTATCCCCTTGTTCATTACCCTGAATGGCTGCAACAGCCAGGAGCTGTGCCGATCTGAAGCCAGGAGCCAGGAGCTCCATCCAGGTCTCCTACGTGGGTGCAGGGGCCCAAACACTTGGGCCATCTTCTACTGCTTTCCCAGGCACGTTAGCGGGGAGCGGCTGGGACTTAAAGCAGTGCTCATATGGGATAGTGGCGTCACAGGCTAGCCCCAAATTTTGAGTTTTTTGAATGTGTAATTGAGCACATGTTCTTTATACTGCCACTCTGCCCTCGCCCATCTTTGGAGTTCTCGCCGCCAGGAGAACTGAACTCACTGCCCCTGGTTTGTCTCCCGCAGGTCGCGAATGCTGTTTCCGAGCGAGGGATTTACAAACAGATCCCTGGCTGTTTTAATTTCCTCCGGAAAAAGCTTTTCTTTAAAACTTAGCGGGGCCAGGGCCCCTCACCCTGCCTTGTGTTTTACCCCAAAACCTTCCTGCGCCGGGCCTGGACCTCCCTGCAGCACGAGGCTTAGGGGCCTGCAGCGGACAGCCTTGTAGCAGCTCCCGGGTTGGAGACAGGTGCCAGGTGGTGGAGGACGAGCCCGGAGGAACGCTGCGGACACCACCGGCTCCTCCCCCGCGCTGGTCCTGGGCTGGTGAACGTGACTCTGACCTCCAGGTTCTCTCCGAGCGGGGTTTCCGGACCTTCAGGCTACTGACGTCTGGGGCGGGACGATCCTTCATGCTGGGGGTTTGTGCACCGTACGCTGCTCGGGGCCACCCCTGGCCTCTGCCCGCTGGGTGCAGGAGCTCCTGTCCCTGAGTCATGCCGACAGACATCTGCAGACCCTGCCACACGTGCCTGGCGGACAAAACCGCCCCCATGTGGAAACCACTGACCAGGAGGGATTTTTGCTACAAATGAGCCAGCGTCTCTCCTAGGGCAACAGAGCCCGAAGAGCTGGCATCTGTGAATTCTAAGTGACGTTTTGAAAATAGCTCACGTCCCCTGTATTGTGTGATTCATTCCTAAAAACGTGAATGAGAGGGGAGTGTGGACTCTTTTTGCCCATTTCCCGCCTCGCTTTGCTCTCTTGGTTCTTCCTCATACAGCAGACTTGCAGTTTTCCAACTTTCTCTCTGTCTTAATTCCTCCGAGCCCCTCCCAGCCCGGGAGTGGGACCCGGGTGGGGGCTGTGTCCTGCTGCAGGGGCTTGAGTCTCTTGTCCCAGGGAACACAGGTATCCCGTGAAGAGACCTGGCCGGGGTTCAGGGTCCTGAGCACCTGCCAGGGCCACCCACCTGCCGCCCTGGCTGCAAGGCCCCCGGGCTGCCGTGTGGCTGCGCCGGCATCAGTGCGATGCTAGTGCTGTCTCTGAGCTCCTCTCGGCTGCCCTGACCCCGGCCCATTTCTTGTTCTCAAGGCCCCGGATGTTAGGGCGGTTTGCTAATAAGGCTCGCACCCAGATGTGATTTTCATAGCTGTTTTATTGTTTCCCAAGTCTGACAGTCATGGAGCCGCCTCGTGCTTCGTGACTGGCAGTTCCCTGGTTAGTTCTTTGCGATCACCTGCAGGACACACACAAGAAAACAATGCAGTTAGTCTGGGGACAGAGCCATGCTTGGCCGCTTCCTGTGTGGCCTCCAGGCTGCCCGCTGCTCCTGTGACTCGCGGGCAGCCAGAGTGGCAGTAGCTCCAGGTCTAGGAGCCGTGACCGCGTGAGAGAGGAGGGGAGGTGGCCACAGCTTCTCATCAGTCCGCTGGGGTCTTTGGGCAAAGAGTCCCGTGTGGGCTCCCGGACGGGGGTGCCTGTGAACTCCTGCACATTTGGTGCCCAGCGTGTGGACAAGCGTGGCTGGAGATCTCATTTGCATGGGGCTGGAGCTGCTTGGAGACGCTGTTTGTGAGCGGTCTCTGGCAGCATTTTGATGTGGCAGCCCGGGGCCTCTATGGCATCGGTGCTCAGCCCCACGTGCGGGGGCGGGGAGGTGCGCCCTGGCAGCCACGGGAGAGGGAAGAATCGGAGGCAGGCGGCAGCCTCATTCACTGTCTTCACGCTGGGGCGTAGTCCGGAGCTGTTTGCCAGCACAACACAGCTGTGTGCCTGGACAAGTCCAGTGACTTGGGGGTGATAGGGAGGAGCCCCTGGCGCTGCTACTGTGGGTCAGAAGACTGTGTGTCCACGTGCAGATGTACCCACAGGCCCGTGAGCAAGGATGAACCCTGGGGAGCGGACTTGAAGATGTGAAATGAAGGGGCCTCTACTTTTTCACTTGACACACTCCTGTATTTTTAATATTTCTGCAAGGAGTGCCTGCTGCCTTCTGGAAAAGAAAACTGAAGCCGAATGCTGGAGGTGCGTGTGCGGCTGTCACTCAGGGATGTTTGTTGAAGGGATGAATGCCCTTGGCCACCTGTCTCGTCCTGTTGCTTCTCTGTCCGTGCCTTTTGTTGGCACCCGTCTCGGGTTATCCAGGCAGGTGCTCCCGGGCGAGTGACCCCGAGCTGCACATGGCGTGCCTTGTGCAGGCTTTTGCCTGCCCCTCTGCAGCTGCCTTGGACGGTGGCCCCGGAGGACAGCCGGCTGCCTGGTGCTCCCGCTCCCAGACCCCATAGCCGGGCGCGTGTGTCTGCCCTGACTACAGTCCTGTGAACGCGGGGCCTCTGCCCAGCTGTCTCGCACGTTCTGCTTTGCCCGCTGGATCCCCTCTGCCATCTGGCCATGCCTTCGGCTCTGGCCCACTCTGTCCTGTTTGTGTCCCGGCTGTGGCTGGCGACAGCTGACGCTGGGACAACAAATGAGGACGATTGCTCCTGGGCTCTGCTTTGGGCCCCCAAGGTGGGGCCAGGACCAGCTGCACGGTGACTCCTGCAGCTGCGGGGGCTGGAAGAGGAGCTAGGATGTGGCTGGGCACAGGCCCCCAGGCATGCTCCGGCCAGTCCGTCTCGGGCCAGGCTCCTTTGAAATGCCAGTGGGCCCTCAATGGCTGCCCTCAGATGTCCCTCCACCAAAGCTGAATCATGGCTTCCCCCAGTTTACCAAACAAGAACAACAAAAAACAAAAACAAACAAAAGTAGTGGCCCTGCTCTTGTGGTTTTCCCTTTTTTTTCCACCAAACTTTTTTGGCATCTCTGGGGTCTGTGACCACCTGTTGAGACAGAACTGCCAGCCAACAGACAAAAGGACAAGGAGCTGGCCAGTCTTAATGGACAAGCTTGGGAGAGCCACCTGCTGTGTTTCGGGTTCTATTAATGAAGTGTCATTGGAATTCATCGGAACAGTCTCTGCACATTAAAGCCATGAGACGAGACGCCAGCGTCACTTTAGGAGGATTCTGTCACACACACCACAGCTCTCACTTGCTCCAGCCCCTACACATGTCAAGGGGTCCCTGCGGCCGGACGACCCCCACCCCTGCTTTAGGGAGACTGGTTGCCAATATCGAATGCACTAGGGGAGCTCAAGCTCTCTGGCTTTGGGCCTTGTAGATAAGTATGACTGATTCTAGTCCGGGTTGGTGGGTTCTGGCCCCACCCACAGATAAGCAAATACCAAATGCTCCCAGGGTCCGAGGGGTGGCCTTTTTTTTTTTTTTTTTTTTTTTTTTTTTTTGTGACAGGCAGAGTGGACAGTGAGAGAGAGAGACAGAGAGAAAGGTCTTCCTTTGCCTTTGGTTCACCCTCCAATGGCCGCCGCGGCCGGCGCACCGCGCTGATCCGATGGCAGGAGCCAGGAGCCAGGTGCTTTTCCTGGTCTCCCGTGGGGTGCAGGGCCCAAGCACCTGGGCCATCCTCCACTGCACTCCCTGGCCACAGCAGAGGGCTGGCCTGGAAGAGGGGCAACCGGGACAGAATCCGGCGCCCCGACTGGGACTAGAACCCGGTGTGCCGGCGCGGCAAGGCGGAGGATTAGCCTAGTGAGCCGCGGCGCTGGCCCCGAGGGGTGGCCTTTGTGTCAACCCTCTTTGGACAAGGACACACCCCTGCCACTTTCCTTTTCACTCCACTTTAGCAAAAGTTGTGTCTGGGTCTCTGTGTGGGGGGTGGCGGGAGGGCACTGCAGTGGTTGGCCAGGTCTGCAGCCTCCTCCAGGGGGCGCACGTGCTTCTTACCGAGTTGATCCAGCTGTTGTAGTTGGAGACCCGGGTGAAGACGGAGGGCTTGCGGTAGTAGTTGCAGCCCAGGGAGGACCCGAAGCTGACTATGCCATGCACCTGCCACTTGCCGCTGGAGTCCTGGCAGTTGAGTGGGCCTCCTGAGTCCCCCTGTGGAAGGGCAGGGTTGGGAGTGGTGAGTGAGGGGAAGGGGCTGCCGGTGGAAGCTTTGTTCTCAAAGCACCCACATCCGTCCACCTCGGATCCCAGCGCAGCGTGGCCCAGGGCAGGACAATCTGTGTGCACCGTAAAACCTGCAAGGACTCACGCTGTCCTCCCTGGGGGCCCGGAGCCGAGCTAAGCGCTATAGCTGCCTTTGCCCATTCAGTCCCCGTGGCAGCTGGGGAGGTGAGTGTTGTTGGGGCTCCTCGTTCCCTGAGGACACGGTGCTGGAGACCCGGGTGGGTGCTGGCCTGCCCGAGGTTGTGCAGGCAGTAAGCGAAGGGGCCGAGGCAGGGGCCCAGAGTTCAGCTGCCCTGTGCTCAGCGACATGGCTGTTGCCTGCCATGGCGAGGCAGTGTCCTGGGTGCAGGTATCCACGGGAAGAGAGTGCGGGTTCACCGGGTGATCTGCAGGGCCTGAGACGCTCCTTCCCATGTGTCCCCCAGACAGCAGTTGCTTTTGGTTAAGGCACTGTCTCCAGGAAGTTTCTGGGGGCAGTGCTCTTGAGGTGACACCGTGGGCATTAGTGGGATGAACCCCGCAGATGAGCCACGAGCCAGCATAGAAAGGCCCTAGCCCTGAGAGTACTTGCCCCGGCTCCCTCTTGTGCAGAGCAAGGAGGGAAGACAGTAACGGGATCCCAGCAGTGATGCGGTGGACACTACGGGGAGAACCCCGAAACATCGAGACCACAGGATGGAGCTCGGGTTTTGCGATGCCCAGGGCTGCTTCTGGATGCTTCCACCAGGAGGCTGCACACCAGAGCTCCTCGAACTTCTTCCCGACCCCCATCTCCACGCTTCCTCGTGGAAGGGGCACCTGAGCTTGTGTACTCACATTGCAGCTGGAGATTTTGCCGTCGCCCCCAGCGCAGATCATGTTGGTCTTCACGGAGCTGCCCCACCAGCTGGAGCTGGAGCAGGTGGCATAGTCCACGACCAGCAGGCGGCCCTGCTGCAGGATGTCAGCGGTCGCTCCGTTGGCTGAACGAGAACAGGGAGAAGCGTTACAGGGACAAAGGGACTCTACTGGGCTCTACCCAGGCCTCTTCTTTCCGGCCCTTCCTTCCATGGGTTGCTGTCACTTATGTAGTGAACCTGTGGCGTTTGGAGTCTCCACATTGGGAAGAATATTCTGGAATGGTATGGAATGGTATGGAAGAGCTGCCACCGTTACTACCATCAGTACCACTGCTACTAATCACAAGGGTGCGTGTTCTCACCACATCCCTAGGTTTTTCAAAACATGCTTTCCTCACGATAAACGTTTGTTCCTGTTTGAAAGATGGAACTAGCACTGAAGCCCACAGAAGTTAAGTGGTCGCCCTGGGATCACTAGTTCGTCACACTTGTGCAGTGCTTTGCACAGCCTAAGCATTCCCCTGTCTCCTCTGCCGGGATCTGCACCAACATTGCACCACTGGACAGATGGAGAAGCTGAGCTTCTAGTGTGGCTTGGCCCGTGTCACACGTGATTGACAGAGCCAGGACTGCAGGCCAAGCATTTGCACGCCTTCCTGGATGGTGCTGTCTCAGATGACTTGTGTTCTGCCCCAGTGCTTCCTGGGTAGACAAATGGGGGTTTGCGTTCGATGCCTCCCCAGCTGCTCCTCACTTCTGGGTGGTTGTGCTTCTTGTCCTTGCAGATGAGCCAGTCAGAAGGGCAGCAGTAATGTGTGTGCCTTTGGTGCACCTCTGGAAGCTATCTCACTTACAGGCTTATGTGATCCTGAAAAGCAGTCACGCATCCACATGACTCTCTAGAATATTCCAAGAGCAGGTGCTCCGTTCCCTCCTGGTGGCCGATCGTCCCTGGGTT